GCACAAGCTTACCTTTCTATTCCTTTCCTCAAGAGCTTCTTCGTTCAATAGCTTAGCTTAGCATCTTTTATCCTTCCTTCTAAAAAAATGGGGATTTAAACAATGCTTGCTCAATGTTTTTTATGCTGATTCAAACCGAACCGGTTTTAGTGGTTTCATTCGGGAAATCGGGGAACTGAATTAGTTTTATTTTTTTATTTTTTTGAACTGATTTTAGTTCTGAACTAGTTGAGGACCAATTATAAGAGGGAAAAAAATACTAATAGTTGAAGACTAGTTCGCTTGGTTCTCTGAACAGGTTTAAACGAAATAGTCCGGTAATAGTTATACTTAATAAGTGCATTCTCCTTATGTATTAATATTATTATACTTGCACACGGGTAATAGTTAATATTACTAAGTATTCCAGCTTTGTTGATTACTTTGTACTTCAATCTGATTCAACATACATGCATTTTATAACATTACATATTTATGTTTGTAATGATCATTACTCTATTCTTTACCTTCCATGTTTATTGATCTTTTTGTCAAGCTAATGATGTGATTTCGTGTGAGATGACTATTGAATAATATTAGTTTTAGAATGTAACGAAATAATGAAACTAATATGACTGAATTAGTTTCCATTTTTCAAAGTATCAGTCAACTTGTAGAGTTGGTTTACTATCTTATATTGCAAATAATCACAGAATTATCACTACTTGCATTTTACCCTTTTATTTTAACAATAGAAGAGAGTAGCTGGTTGACACTTCTCTGTTGGAAAATTACTGCCTATATTTAATAGTGATTGTGTACAAAAATGGCGCATTTTTTCCTGGTGCAATTTAAATCAAATGCAGGTTCACTTGTTGAAAGTGACCATTCTCCTTTCTATCTCTCAGTGTACCACTATAACTGTTTTAACTCTCAAATTATGCAAGGTATTCTTTGAAATTCAAATTCAACTAGTAAATAGTTCCATTTTCAAGCCTAGTTTAGCTTTCCATAGTTTCAACTAAGAGTTGTAAGACCTCGGGTGATTGCCCTGATTCATTGTAGTGAATTTAGCATTCAAAGAACTTTCAGCAAGGAAATGAAATCTTATATCATGATATATCGACCATGCTTCTGTATGGAACAAATTAACCTTACTCATTTTAGGCCAACAAAGATGAACTACTGCTTACTGAAAATCAAAAGTTAGGTTATCCAATGATAGAACTTAAGCAATTTAAACCTATAGCATGTTTGGGAAACAAAGCGGCTACAAACAGAAATTACATTTCAACCAACCAGAATGGTAAGTGCAAAAACACATGCTCTGAAAGAAACTGGTATACAAGCCGTCATAGTTTTATAATGATATCACCTTACTTCCTCCATGTACAATCATTGAAGAAGCATTAGGTTTTTGTTGTCAGCTGGGTGAAGAAAGCTGAAGATATAGAGGGGAAAAAAAAAAACAAGCATGCAGTGCTTGTTTCCACCAACCCATATCATAACCAAAAGAATCATTATCTGCACAAAATAAGACTTTCAATACATAACAATTATATTGTATTTACATGACCTCCCTACGAGCCTGTGTCAGGGATGTTGCAATGCAACCTGTTTTTGAGTTTGATTGCTGCCATCGCATCCCCACTAATCTCTGCTATGAAAGATTTCGACTGAATTTTAAATAGCCAAATGGGAAAGGAAGCATGAATTACTCCATATATATATATATATATATATATATATATATATATATATATATATATATATATTCATTCATTAAGGATTTGAATGGCTATATATATATATATATATATATATATATATATATATATATATATATATATATAGTACTATATGTCTATGTGACCATGAATGTCTAAGAAATGGTATAACAGACCTGATAGCTTAGGGACAGCTCTCCAGCAGCATTGGCCATTAGTGAGGATGCAGTTAATGAGCTTCTTATCTTCCTCTGCAGTCCATGGCCCCTTCTTTAACCCAACTTTGTCACAGCATGGTTGCCTTCCCATGTTTTTTAATTAAAACAGAAATGCCACAATCTTATAGAGAGGGCATGTGACCGCCACCACCGGAGTCTCATGCCACCTCATCTGGAGCCAAAGGAAACCGAGATTGATCCACGTTATGGTGTTGAGATTTTGTTTTTTTTTAATGTAGATTTTGAACCTTCAGGTCAATAAGAAAAAAAAAAGAGTTTCTTAAGTGGCTCAAGGGAGATTGTCCCAGAAAGAGATGCTGCTGCTGTTCCAGAAAGAGATCAGAAACCAGGAAATGGGTGAAAGAAAGAAGAAGAAGAAGAAAGAAAAAAATATATTAAAAAGTAACTAAACGACGTCGTCTCTTCTTCCACGCTATCCCACATCCAAGCTGCGTCAGCACACTAACGTGCCACATGGGCACCGTTAGTTTGGCCGTTACGGTGGACTTCACAGAAGGACTAACGTGGCCCCTTTTTTGTTATTTCAGGGACCAATTTGGTCCTTTTTAATTGCCAGGGACTGAAAAGGACTTTGTGGATATTGCCAGGGACTAAAAAGGGTATTTACTCTTAAAATTTTAAACCCCTCCCAGATATAATACTCGAAAGGTTTTCGGGTTTTAGGGTAAGAAACGAAACGAAACGAGGGAAGACGATATTTCCAGTGGACTGGGCCTGGTCCAATAAAAATAAAATACAGTAAAGCTCGCGATAGGCATTATTTGAATATTTGTTGTCAGGTATGCACTTTCAACTATAAATATACATTTCATGTTTAGCACACTTACCATACATCCTAATCAATTATAATAAACTAAAAAGAAAAAGAAAAAGTGTTATGAACATTTACATAAAAAAATTGAAATGGGGGTGTCAAGAATAAATAAACCCAAATGCCCTATGTTATGCAACCGGATAGGCCTGTTGTTGGACGTAACATAAAGAGAACAGAGACCATTTTCCCACCTTATAGTGAAAAACAAGATAAGAAGAAGGAGATAAATCGATTAGTTTCAAATTTCAGCAGCAAAGTAGGAACGTTACGGTAATCGTGGATTAATTCAAATGAAGGGTTATTCGTAGTTTTCGATTTTTTGTAATTTTGTGGTTTCTGCCGTGTTCAATTATATCAGAATCAAGAAATTTTGAAAATTATACTCATCTAGCATAACTATCATGCCATTCATCATTGCATGAATTTAGATACAAATATAAATTGAGGATGTAAATTACGCAAATCGATAGAGAGAGGGGAGGAGAGAGAAAGAGTGTGGGAGACACTGAGGAGAAAGAAAGAGGAAAAAAGTTTATTTTATTCTACAAATCTCTATCGTTGGATGAGATTGTAATCTAATAGTGTTGAGAGAGATAGGCAAAGGTAGACAAAATAAGAGTAAGCAGAGTAACATATTCCATAAAATAATTGACCAAACATGATAAATAGCTTCATGTTAAACATGATAAATAGCTTCATGTTATTTTGATGCGGTCTCTATTTTTGCTAAAATAGAATTGAGAAAAATGTGTCCTTTTAAAGAATATAAAACTGGATTATTTTAAGAGAGATAGAAATAAAACATAAGGGAAAAAGAGTGGGTTTTTTTCTTCTTCTCTATCTCATGATCTATCTTTATCTCTCTCTTAAAAGAACTATTATTTTGAATGACACACATTTTTCCAATAGAATTTACAAATAATTGGCATATTGACTAGCATAACCTTGATTTGATGCATTTGTGATAAACAAAAATGAGCCAGTTCAATTTATTAACCCGTGATTTATTTACGTTGTTCAATGGTCAACTTAAAACTAATTATTTTTAGCTGCAAAAATTTCTTACCACCAACCTACTTTGAGTGCCTTAATCTTACAAATGGATTTTTTTAATATGCTTCCGAGCATATTTTTTTGGGTGCTCCATTTTCGATAAAGGAAAAATTTTCTTTCATTTATATTCCTATTTTCTTTTTAAATTATCTCTTAGTCCTTTTTTCTTTCCCGTTTTGGTTAATTATTTTTTCTTGCAAATAACTGCATTTTTTTTTCATTTAATTTCTTTTCTCATCTATTAGTTATTGGGAAATATGTTTCTTATATTGCATAAGATAAAATTGTCTCAAGCAACACACACAAAATTAAATGAAATCCATTAAGGAAAAGAGAGGGACAGAAAGAAAATGTGGATCCCACTTATTTTTTGTGTGTGCATGAGATAAAATTGGGGTTTTTGATCTTACTATTTCGATTTTTAAAAAGTTTGACAAGATTAAGCTCTTAATCAAAATTATTACCAGACTAATGCAAAGAGATATAGCACCTAACATGCCGCATCAAAATATGGTAATATGCCTGATGTGTATTATGACAATGGGTCCTTGACAATAGACGTGGCACTAGACATGCACATGACATGCCACGTCTAAACATAGTAGTCTACCTGATGTGTTTAGTATGACTTCGTCACGTGGCATGTGAAACCGTATTTATATTTGTCGTTACAGTAAATGTGATAGTGTGACTATCACGTTTAAATGTGGTATGTCAGGTGTCATGTCTCTTGTCAACACTAATTACATCCAGCATACTACCATATTTAGAAGCGGCAAGTCAGGTGACATGTTTTTCTGTATTAGTCCGGTAATAAGTTTGATCAAGAGCTTATTCCGGTCAAACTTTTTGAAAAAAATGAACTAGTACAATTAAAAAGCTAATAAATTTGTCTCGTGTAATATGAAAGACATATTTCCCTTGAAACAAGTTTTTCTTTAAAAATTTAATCTACGTTGGACACCTCAATTCTCCAAAGTCATAAAAATGAAGTTTCCGAGTAAGTTCACAAAGCAGTGTTTTTCCAAAACAGCTGTTTCTCAGATGTTTCATAAGAAATGAGAAGAATCATCAAAGAAACATTTTTCTCAATTTCCAAGAAAAACCTGTTTCCACTACCACATTTAAATTAAACCCAACATCATTCACAACTCACACTATCAATTCAGAATTTCATTTTGCAGATACACCAACAAATCAAGCCAACCATAACCATGAAAACTCATGAGGCAACAAAGAATTCAATCAATTCTGATGTGCATACCCAAAACCTTTGCAGTATGCAACCTTTCCTCTGTATCATCAGCATGACAATCAGCAGTGTCATCACAATCTACCGTGCTTACAACAACAAAGACATACTCATGATATTGTTCATTACTTATGTTTACATTGGTTCCTTCTTGTTCGACTATTGGTCCCGTTTATACCACAAGCTACCACCATCTGAACAATCTTCTAAGAGGCGTAACGTTAAAATTGGCATGTGGGTCTTATTCAGTAGCACCATGTTAGGATTTGCATGCGAATTCTCAACGTTTATGAACTTCACTGAGTCTTTGTGTATATTTTTGGTTGTGATTGTGGGCAACGTGTTACTTTTCTATGTTTACTTTGTGTGGAAGGGTAACAAGAGTGCTAGTGCTTGCTCCACTCATCGTAGTTGTTACAATAATGGGAATGCAGTTCAAGAAGAAGAATATAAACCATTAACAGATTCCAAGGGTGTATTCAATGTATAAATACTAAACAGTGTACTAGTTTCTCTTGTTGAAACTTTAGTACTTGATGCCAATATTGGGTGTTTATAAGTATTTAATTTTAATAAATAAAATTATTACTTTATTTTTATTTGTTTTTCATTTTTAATATTCAACGAAGGCAATGAGAAAATAAGGATAATTTATACACAAACTCAAAAGACAATCCACAAAAAAAACTGGCAGGAACAAGCATTTAGTGTGCAGAGACAAAATTGTCTTGGACTCAGTGGAGGACAAACTGTACTAAAAGTCTTAAACCTTATATTTGTTATTGCTCAATGCTCACACCCCTAACGGCAGCTTACATGATTTATACATGAAGTTTGCATTTCAAACGGTGTATGCTTGCTGTATTGTGTCAATGTCAAGGCCCTTCATTCTAATCACTGACTCAACATGGCCCTTCAGCGTGTTCAGTTCTCTCAATCTGCAAAAAACAAAATGACGTAAACATAAGTGCACTAAGAAGCTTGAGGAGTTCCATATGAAGATTCTTTATATTTAATTCCAAACACACAAATAATAATACCATTTGTGTTATTATTTGTACGTGTGAAATAAAATCCAAAGAATATTTAGATAAAGCAGCAGTAAAGCTATTCCTTGTGACCAGAAGGTCATGGATTTGAGTCTAGAAAACAGTCTCTTTGCACGTGCTAACAAAAATGCATAACAAGATAGATATGGAATATTCATGTTACGAGTAATCCATGTCAACAACTTAAAGAAATGCCATTTAACATAGTATTCATCCAGTTTTAAGTGCCCATAATTAGAAAAAGTGTTACCTAGTACCTACCATTTTACTATGATTAATTCAGTACCAATAGTTTTAGTCAGTGCATAATATTAGCAAAATCTCACTGGTAGTTGCATGCAACATTAAGAGGGTATGCACACAGCAAACTACCTCAAACAAGATCATCATAATTTAGCATAAACACATGCATACCTTGCAATCTCTGCTCGTCTTTTCGCCTCTTCAGCCATCTGATTAAGTTCACTTGTACGTTCACTGAACATCTTGGTCTCTGGTGGGTGAAGGCCATGAAGGGTCCTCTGATCATGTGCCCATTTACGTGCGCGTTCTTCCTTTCCAAAATCTTTTTTCCTTGTAAAAGCAATCTGACAATGATTCCATTCTAGAAATTAAGCAACAAGTTCAAATGTTGAATTACTTTATTCAATTGATAGGGAACACCTACCCTTTGTTCAATAACAAGATCCCAAGCCCTGCCACTCAAGGCATATCGAATTATGAACTTGATAAAATCAAGTGGGAAATAGAAGATGAGGTTATAAAGCCAAACAACACCAGCCCAACCCCATCCAATCCCTTCAATTGCAGCAAAACTCCAATTTGCATAAACTGCAATTATTGTAGCTATCTGCTCATCAAAGAAGATGGCCAAGTTATTATGACATTATTACACTCACAATGTACACATGTTAAAAAGTTTAAGTGTTGATTTCACTCACCAGCTGGGCAATAACAAAAGCTGCTACGAGCAACAAACCCGGACGCTCAACAAAAGACCAACTCCGTGCACGTGTGACAAATATGAGAGCCTGACTAATTGTACTAACTTGTAAGTATATTGCTGAGGCAAGCTTTCTGAAGTCATCCTCGTCCTTTTTCTGAAGACTTGAGACCCCAAATGTGCGCTGAAAATTTCAAAGTGCACGTCAATGCAATGAATTGAGCTAAGTTATTGATTGAAAGTAAGAAGCACACATCATACAAGATTATATATTTATATATACATAAGGGTGAGCTACAAACATGGAGAAAACTGTAACAGACAAATTTGGAATGTATCAATTATTATCTAAACATAAATCAATCCGAAACTCCAAACATCAAGTTCATGGTACAGTTATTGCTTAAAGGAAACCTACGTAGTTTAAACTACCTCAAATGACCATCCATCACCAATTGATGACAGGTTCAGAAAAGATGGATGGATGACGCGGCTATGAATGTTGCCAAAGGGAATGAAGCACTAAAGTTTATTGTGTTTCAAGGTAAACTTCACTTCATACAGTTCAAGAGAATTGCAAAACTACTTTCTGATTAAAAGTAAAGAAGATGGAAGTGCACACTTTGTTTTGGAAATGAGAAATCATTGGAATGACCAGCATGACAACTATACTGAAAAGTATCAGAATGAAAGGAAAATTTAATTCTAGTTGAACTAATCTGGTAACAGCACAAAACTAATTCTGATTGATATTTTTTCACCAATTGGATAAGGTAGATTCCAACAAAAGTTTCACATGGCCCGTTATTGATTGAACACACATATGATACCATTAATTTGATGGAGAAAAAAATTGTTTCTTACAGGGAAAAAATCTGTTTTATACGCAGCCCAAAAGAAAATAACTGTCATCATAGCCAAATAACCACCAAGAATTATTCCTGTGGTGAAGATCTCTGCCAGCTTCCAGCTATCTGGATATGGAGATGGTTTTACCCTGTCCTTTGATATTGTCATAATGGTACCTGACATATTCGACAGATCATACTTTAAGGAGAGAAAACTTTTCGACGTCAAAAACAGGATCTCTATGAGAATACCAGTGAAAAGAGAAATGAAACATGGTATTTGACATTAATTAGTTGGTAATGGTGACTTAAATATCCATGACTCTTTATCAGTAAAAGAGGCAATCTAAGTTGGCGTAGAAAAGTAAGGCACAAACCATCATTAAGGATAGCAATAATCAGCACCATAAACGGTGGAAAATCAAATTCCCATATGAGGGCCAGTAACATGAAACCAAGCTGTCACAAAAAGAAATTCTGAAGTCAGTAATCAAAGTGATATGTCAACAAGAAAAACAGCTCGTGATCAAGCTATAACTATATAACTCACCACAATACGGATTGTGATGGAAACAGCATAGATCTGTACAAAAGGAAATCAATAAATCAAAAGTGAAAAAATGAGTAGTCATAATTATCATCATTTTAACTAGAATGTGGGATAATGGATTTTAGGCACTATGCCATTTGCTGGGAAGAAAATATAAAGTCATGAGGTGATAAACTTCCCCAATGCAGCCTGTCACATTATGGATAGCAAGACCAAATTTATAATTGATTATTAAACTAGTTTTCTTTGCACAAGGCAGTGTCAAGAACTGGAGCAATACTTCACCAGACTGCAAATGCAAAATTCAGGTTCTCAATTTAGTATTAACAAATCGTTCAGTTAAGTTGGCATAAATTATGTTTAGACTATAGAGGTTGGTAAATGCCTAACTCATGCATTCCATCATAACTTTCAAGTTTTCAAACAGAATTCCATTAGAGGATAGAATTGAATGTCGGCTCACTGTGTAATTCTTCATCCTTTGGAAAATTGCCCGACTGGTCAGTACAGCACTAATGATAACACTGAGACCTGGTTCAGTCAGAACAATGTCAGAAGCACCACGAGCTGCATCGGTTGCATCAGCAACAGCTATTCCAATATCTGCTTTTTTAAGAGCAGGGGCATCATTAACCCCATCACCAGTCATTCCGCATATGTGTTTCCTAGCTTGTAAACGCTTCACGATCTCATATTTGTGCTCTGTATCAAATAAACTTATCAAGTCAAACAAGTAAAAGTAAAACTTAAATCAATATTATACAAAAATAAACCATGATTATCATTTCATGCAAATATCATGGCAGAAGGGGAAAAGAAAAAGTCACTGTTTCTGAAAGAGGCATATAATATGAGCCATCTAGCTGCTTATCCCAAATATTTTCTGGATTCTAGCTTGTTGCCACTATCAGCTGAAGCAAGGTAGAATGTCGGAAATATTAAATATGTTTGTACATACTAAGAATTTAAAGCGAAAAGAAAGATATTGTACCAGGAAAAACGCCAGCAAATCCATCAGCTTTTTCAATTAATTCATCAACTGGCAAGGTAGCAATTGCTTCATCCTTGTTTTGGCCCAATAATGCCGATGACGGGTACATGTTGGTTCCCATCCCTAGACGGCGTCCTGTTTCTTTTGCTATTGCTAGTTGATCACCTGAAAGAAATTGGAATACATAAAGATATCATTTAAAAACATGAAAAATTACACAAACCAAACGTGTCATGAAAAACAGATTAATTCCAAATGTATGAATACTTTCAATTTTTCCATGCATCACTAGTTCCAAAAGTCAACTCCACACGAAATCCGGACTTCAGTGTTTATGTGTATTATCTCATAATTGTACATGATCTGCCTATGAATTCACTGAACCAAATAAAAATTAAAGCAAAACCTCTTTTTGTTGCTAATATGGGGTCCTTTCCCTCCTCAAGAAGAGAAATCTTACAAATAGCCTAATAACACTTGCGAATCTCTATAAGAGAAAACAAAAGCTTTGTTGTACAAACAAAGATTGATGCACAAACTATGCAACAAAAAATGCCTTGCACTCAGCAAAGAAGTCAAAATGTTAATAATAGCCAGAATTGTAATAACAAGTAATATTCAAGTTAGCAGCAAAAATACACCTTTTCGTACAATTTTGCTTACTCGAATTGCTTAACCAACAGTAAGTCTGACAGTTTACCACTACCATTCCCATTACATTCTTCCATATTATAACTCACTATTAAATTAAAAAGGGAATAAAAGCAACACTGATCGATTATGCTGAAACTTTTTAGGGGTGCAATAAACATGATGTATTTGTTTCTTCCTTTTTATATATAATAACATGTGGAGGATATATACCTGTTATCATTTTAACATTTACTCCGAGATTTAATGCCCTTCGTATTGTCTCTGCACTATCATGTCTAGGAGGATCAAACAAAGGCATAAGTCCAATAAATTGCCAATGCCCTCCTTGGCTTTCTTTTCTTCCGTCAGGAACTTCCTGGGATATAATGATGAATCCAGTCAGCAAAAACAGAATTTTCTCCTTCCACCCTAAAAGAAACATGTACCTGATAAGATACTGCAAGAGACCGTAAGCCCCGCTCTGCAAACTTATCAATGACAGCATGAACTCTTCGTTCTATCTCTGATTT